GGCATCGTACTGGACTTGTGATCGTTGAGCAACTTCCTGTGCCTCCGCGAAGGCACGTTGGTGGTCCTCACGCTGCTGCGCGGCAAGTTGAGTAGTCTCTAGGGCATCGTTTTCAGCCTTGAGACGTCGGTTCTTCTCACCCTGTGTTTCAGATTTTAGGTCTTCTATTTTTCTATCCTTGCGTGCGATGGTTATCAAACTGGCTTCGTGGGATTGTTCAGAATTGCGTAGGCGATCTGTAACGGTTTGTAGTTGTTGTTTCAGGATTTCGTTCATGCGCTGGGTTTCTTCGGCACGAGTTCGGTGGAGGTTGCATTCACGAGTGAGACGGGTTATCTGTTCTTGAAGGTTGTGAATGACTCTGCCGGATTTACCAGTCATGGCGTGTCCGATGGCAGAGGACCATTCTGTGGGCGATGTGGCATTCAATTCGCCGTTGGAAGGGTGAGACATGGAGGTAACTATATCACCCAATCGTTTAGTATCCAACTAGTTCAAACAGTATAATCCTAGTCGTATGAGACGTACCAAGGGATTCCTCCTTCCTGACGACGCCATTAGTGCCATCGGCGCCATCGGAGTGAGGGTTGTCGAAAAAACTGTTGGGCGAGTGCATGTTCAAGTCCTTTTCGACGTCGGGGAGGACAACTTGCGGCGGTATCTCAACTGTAGAAGTGGATATGGATGCTGAAGCGGAAGCTGAAGCTGAAGTCGATGCTTTAACGATAAAGACAGTAGAGTTAGTGCTTGGTTTGCGGAAATGAAACATATCCCTAATCTTCTGGACGGGTTGAATCATTGTTCATTACCGCCACGGATATTGAACCGGACGAAGTAGACGGAGTAGCGGTATATTGGCTGTTTGTGCTGGAGAGTGACTGAAGGGGAATTTTCCTGAAAGATTGACTGAAATGGGAATGTGGTGACAATGAAAAGGCCGGGAAGAAGAGATAGAAAGAAGTTCAGTTGGTACCGCTGGACGAGTTCAGATTCCACCTCTTTATTTCAATCAAACGAGTCTGGGAAGAATCGGAGTGCTGGTTCATTGTCAGACTGGGCTGGTCATGATGCGCCTTGCTCTGTTGCTGTGGGAATGGAAGGACAGGATGGACACGATTGAACAGGCTGCCTGATGTGTTGGCGCCGTATATGCGCGGCCAAAAACGTTTCAAAGAGAGCGTGATGTATGTATGTGCTTTAAGAACGACCAGTCCCTCCCGATTCCTCCGGTTGGCTCTCTCCTCCGACAAGGACGGCAGAGCAGGGTCATGGACGGGGTGAATACTCTGATGTAGCGAATGTTGACGTCTGACGTCGTTTTTGAGGACGATAAGATTACTTAGGCCAAAAAATTCCCAGCCGCAGTCAGAGATGATGATGTCAGCAGCTGTCAAAGATGTGTCAGCGGCCCAGAAAAAAGAAGAAAAAAAAATAAAGATGTTGAGAGATGCGCGATTCGAACGCGCGAATCAAAAGAAATCAGGGGAAGAATTTACGATTACGTAAGCCTAAACCTGACGCCATAACCACTCGGCCAATCTCCCATATACTTGGGTCGTTTTGGAGGTGGGAATTTATAAGGCCAGGCACCCTTGTAGATTCCCGTTTACTTCCTAAATGATGAAAAGATGGTCTCAGTTTTCAGTGGTTAGCTAGGACTACATCGGTATCTACTCCTTATCCCAATCCATATCAATGTCAATCTCCTCTGCGTCTACACACCCCTTGAACTCTCTGGCCTCCAGCTCCTTATCAAGTGCCTCAAACAGGCGTGCGAGATATATCCGCTCACCCGGAACGGTGACTCCAATATCCATGCCCAAGAAGATGGATGCATCAAAGCAGGATCTAGCCAGCTTGACGACCGGCGGGGCTCTAGACCGATATAGGTCTTTAAACCGCTGCCTCCAGAACAGCCAGCGAGCGATGCTGAAACCAGGCTGCGCGACACCTGCCTTTACCGCCAGGTCGCCTGGCATAGTCATGTCGTCGTCGTCGTTACTATCGTCGGACGAAGGGGCTGCGGTGTAGTTCGCCTGTGAGAGCTTCACCAGCTTGCTGTTGTTATATTTCAGCCATGCAAGACACGCGGGTAGGAGGTCGTGAATGGTAGGACGAATATTCTCCTTGTCATCTCTTGAGTCACCTTGTTCATCCTCCATGAGCGGTCTATCCGTTTCTAGAGCCTGTTTGAATAACCACAGCGCGCAACGACTAAGATCGTCCGAGCAGATACCCGTAGCACATAACTTAGCAGTCCACACGGCAAGACTCTCACGTTGAGCTGGTGTAAGACGCATTGATTCCGTGGTCCATGAGTCCGTCACTTCCTGAGCGAAGTAAGGGAGATCAATCCATAGACGTTTTCCGTTAGATACGATGACTTCACCTGGAGCTTCCGTAGACGATGCGACATCCTCTTCCCTGTCATTGCGAGTTTGGGCGAAGACGCCTAATTCTCGGGTTTCTACCAGCAGTAGGACAAGCCGATCGAGCTCAGCACTGGTGGCGGGCGTGATCTTAACTGCATGGATGAGCTCGTCCCAAAGATCGTGTAGCTGGCCCTCGATCCCATCCGTGGTGAAGCTGTAAGTATAGTAGCCTCTTCCAATCCCGCAGATGGTGTTGCGAAGGTTTTCCCATATCTCCTGTGCGTTGGCGGGGTCAGTCTCGTAGTCTTTGCGTTTCTGTTCGCGGGTGAGGTTCGGCAAGGCACAGGAGCCGTCGGGACAGTCCATGCTGGCTCTCCGACTTGACTGCAGGATGGGTAGTTGAGAAGGATGAAGGCGGGAGGACGATGGAGGCCCTGTGAGCGAAATAATAGATTAATAGCTGGTTATCTGGCTATTGAACTGGTATCACAGTTGATCTGCCTCGGAGTGGGGGATGCTCTCCGTATGGTGTGCGCCTTTGTTGACGCGAAGGGTTACACGGCAGAGAGGGGAGCCGAGTAGGTATTTACGGCGACTAGAGAACTAAAGCGAAGGTGACAGTAGCAGAAGTTGAAGTGCGATGGTGATGGTGATGGTGGTGGTATATCGATGGGAGTTAAGGGACACTTTGTCTACCGCGAGATTTGATCTATAAAAACATCATTCCTGCCTCACTTTACTCTCTCCACAACCAGACACTATATACTCCTAGCCACCTCATACAAAAAAGGAAAAGCATTCATCAACCGATATCCCTGCTATCTCATACGCAATGAAGTTCAGCCTCATCCTCCTTGCAGCTTTCCTGGCCGCCCCCGTCATACCCTCTGCCATTCCCGAGAGAAGCGAGTCTGATCTCGCTGAGCGCGGCACCTCCCCTGCGGATGCTGCGTCTGTCCTGAAGCCTAGAGCAGTAAGTCTGTCTCTAGTAAAGCTATCTACATAGCCACGCACTAATGACCTGAAACAGCCATGTAACGGAATCTGCTTGGGCCTTTTATGCACCTGCCCTGGTAGGGTGTGTGCTTGCCAGACCATTGGAGCTTGTACTTGTGCTTAGAAACAATGTATATTGCATGGAGTACCAAGCATACTGTTTCTTGACGAGCCTTCATCTCTGGATATTTCTTATTTTTTCGGACAAGTTTATCCCGACGTTACACCATAGCCTACCCTCGCTGGCAGAAAACATCCTTCTTTATCAATATTGAATACTAGACAGTAATGCCATTGGGTATAATTGTCCAGGGCCGGGGTGTGCAGTTGATCAGCGGATTTGTGAGTTGGTGAAATGGAATGTCCGATGTCAAATGTCTGATGTCCAATATGGATCTATATAACTACGGATTAATGGATTTTCCTCCATCTGTTTGAATGCTTAACTAATACAAAATCACATGCTGAATGGGCGCCCAAAGAACTGATTGCACGTTCGTAAAGAACTGATTGTTTACTTCCCCAAATATCTACTACATCGACAGCTTTCATCCCCGATGGTTTTAGCTTTTGGCGGCTATTCCATGGCTTCCGACTATAAACCGCTGTTAAAGTATGAAAATGGAGGACCGGCGATGGAGATCCGGAGATGGGAAGGACAGGCTAATAGCTGAATCCTTCGAGTATGACCTTACACAACTGATCCTCAACTGGCCTACGCGTAGAGAATATCGTCGGCAGCGGGCTCCTTTGTTGATATAGGAGAGTTACACCACCGAGGGAAGAGGGGTAGTAGATGATCGTAGACGACGGTGTCTATCCGATATAATATCAGATATAAAAGCGACGTCCATCACGATCTCTACTATCTTCCTCAAACCATCCCAACTACTCTACCAAGCTACCATCATCCTACGGAGCACTATCATATCAATTGATACCCCAACCAACCACACGCACAATGAAGTTCAACCTTGTTCTTGTCGCAGCCTTCCTGGCAGCCCCTATCCTGGCTTCGACCGTCCCTGAAATCAGCGAAGCCGTCGACATTGCTGACCGCGATATGTCTGCGGTTGATGAAAGGAATGATCTTACGGCTAGAAAGGTATGGCTTTCTAGTATAGTATTCATAGTGGTACTGCGCTAATAAACGGTAGCGATGCATCGGGAGATGCTCTAAGAATGGATGCCACTGTACCAGGCCTGTGAGGGTGTGTCCATGTAACAGAGTTGGAGCCAGATGTGTTTGTCGTTAGGACGGCATGATTAATCAAGCCTCATGCCATAATATGTATCGGCAGATGTTTCTCTCGGGCTATTTCCTATGTCTAAGCAGCGTGTCTATCCTGTCTGTACCCCTCACACCATGCCATGAAGCATCTTCTCCTTCTCTATGCTCAAGTCTGGATGAGGGCGGCGTCAGGCCAAGCTTTCAGGTGTTTCAGTTGGTGGACTGGTGGATGTGAAGATATGGGTGGATATCATCGTTGTCCCATCTGTATCAAATCAGAGCTATCATATATCAAGCATCATGACCCTTGCCGGCATCCAAGCTAGTAGCAATTAGAAATGTGAACATCTTTTGCCCAATTGTAACAGTTACTAGTGTGATATAGCTGAAAACTCAACGAGAATATACCATAACCGTAAACTGGACCCGAAAGAATTCCAGTGAGCGTATATTGCTGGTTAATCCGTCCCTCCTAGCCGCACAGGGCCTTATATGATAGTCAAGACACTATTATATTCACCCACACTTCACCTTGTTCTTGGACAATGGCGGTTGCTTTAGAACAGTGTCCAGTACCTATGTGCTAGCGTCAGAAGATAGAACAACGGGGATATGGAGCTTCTTCGTAGCTGGTGCTTAAAATATATAGATATCCACGCCGGAAGTTTAATGAAATAATTACGACAAAAGATGAAGTGGGTTGATATGCAAGAGCATGCAGAGGATTGAACGTCTTCGCGGGGTGTTAGATGCTTGGTTATATACCTCCCCCAGCAAGCAGCCACGGTATACGACTGAAAGTGAGAATCATGGAGGCCTTCCACTAGTCTTAACCTTGGTACAGTTTACGATGAAGCATAGATACGATTATAGCCCGTGCGAGTGAGATTTGGATTATGGTGCTCCTGAGACATAACGATATCCCGAGAAGCGTCTGCGAATCAATACATCTGACTCGCCCATCGACCTATGCAAAGACTCCGACAGACGACGAAGGCGTTGATAACCAGGCCAAGGTTAAAAGTCCATCCAAATATCCGGTGAGTAGACAAGACAGCGAGTGGCTGTCTATTCCTGAGGAAGGGTCCCTTGTAGACATCACCATCATCATTGTATAGTAGAATATATATTGTCACGCCCCTTCGGGTATACTAATCGCGATATTCCCCCAAATCAGGCCATCCGCGAGAAGACCGATAACTTGCCCCAGACAGGGTATGATTTGATGGTGACTGTCACCAATTCGGTGCCCATGGCTGATCAAATACTTTGCTTGCTAACCTGTTCAAGTTCAGCGTACCATGTCTGCTCCCAACGTTGTTTGTATTCCTTCAACCAAGGACTTCGAATTTATGCTACATATAAGTCGTGCTTACTAAGACTGATGCCAAGTCTGCGAAAGGACTAAGTTGGAATGTTGTTTGCTAATATTGGGGGAGGTCAAGTGAGTGGTAGTCACGTGGAGGCTGGGAGGTAACTTTCTTGATCTTGGCATTATTTCCTTAATAAGCACTGCCTCTCTATTTTGCCAAGACCGTGAAAGGACTGAGCTGCTACTGGGGGACACCAGCTTTGGACACCAGCTTTTCCACCAGTTTACTTTCACGGTCTTGGTACACAAGCATACACCAGCTAGGGACACCAGCTTGAGGACACCAGCTTGCTTTTATGGTCAACCTAGCTCTTTCATAGTCTTGGCACACCAGATGGACACCAGCTTGGGGGACACTTACTTACGGGATACTTGATTTGGGGGGATACTTACTTAGGGCACCAGTTTACTTTTATAGTCTTAGTACACCAGTATATACCAGATAGATACTAGCTGGACACCAGCTTGGGATACCAGCTTAGGGGGACACCAGCTTGATACAAGGGACACCAGCTCATCAATACAAGGGACACCAGCTCGATATAAGGGACACCAGCTTCTTCAACTTAGCTC